AGGATTAAGGGATAATACCAGTTGTAAGACGCGTCTTGATGCGACACCGTTGTTGGTAGAGACGTTATTAGGTGTTGAAGAGATTGAAATGAATGATCAATTGAGGTCTAATTGATTCCTCTCTAAGTACATTGATACCGGTTGAATTGATAAATCAAATAATATCCTATATGAGTAGACAGATACGTCTTTCCTCACTTGTCGGTCCTTCTCATTGTCATAGCCAGGAATAACAATCAATTCATTTTGAAGTTACTTCTTCAACGTGAATTCTATGCTGTCTCATAACACTGAAATGTTCAGTACTGTATATCCATGGTTCCATAAAATTAAAGAATCATCAACATATCTAAACAAATTCTGAAATTTTTCAATGGCCACCATTTCGAAGCATTCCATGTATATAATTGTTTTGACCAACAATTTACAGTTCATCGTGTGAAAAATAGCCCCTCACCTGAAAATTGTAATTCCATATACGAAGTTCTAGTGAATACATGGTTCCCAGATCATCCTTTTAGATAGCTTCCTCCGCACAGTAATTCGAAGTCTCCACGAAAGAGGGAGCTTTACCTTTAATTGCAAGTGAGTTGTGAATGACAGAAACTCTCTGGAGTCGATAACTGGTCTGAGAGGAATTGTTGAGGGTAAGAAGATCGCTTTCTTTTCTTTTCTCGCCGATTATTCGTTTCCATTGCATAGTGCACCATTCAACAAAGGAAAAAGGAAAACAGAGCAAAACTTGTTTCCATTGGGTGGGAATATTTCACAGATATAAATGTGAAGAGTTAACGTACTTCCAGAAAGCCCACTTGAAGTTTTTTCTTTCAACTGACTAAGACAAAAAGTATAGCTGAGGTACCAGTCAATCTAATAGTAACACTGATGATCTTCAAACATGACTCCTCTGACAGAAGCACCAAACTCTTACGAAGGTTCGAACTAGATGAACACTTCAATCTAGCAGTCATTGTCCACTGTGGTTCTGCCGTTGAATCTGGTCATTATACGCAATGGTCAAAAACGAAACGGACTGGTTTAAGTTTGACGATAGTCGTTTCACTAAATATTCTGGCAATATCTTGAATTTATTGGAGCCTCTGGAGACACCCTAGATTTTAATCTATGAAAGAGAGGACATTGGCAGATCAAAATCTTCAGATGTGGTGCTGCAGGTTTTTCCGGGTTTTCCTACAGCTAAAAAAGCAACTGCGCCACTGGAATTAATCAAGTCGTTCCGGAGCGCCAATTAATTTTTGTCGCTGTTGTTTCATAATTTCATAAATTGTATCAATTTCAACAAAACAAATATAGCGCTCGTATTTTTCCAAGTAAATAAAGTTATGAAGGTACTCCCATCCAGATAATGATGTATGATGTTTTAAGGACAAAAACAAAAGCACTGCAGGAAAGTCCTTAAGACTCTCCAAGAGCGGTGTCTGTGCGAAAGATGTGTTTCCGGCAGGATTTTTCATCTAGCGATATCGATATTCATTACAAACTACATTCCAGATCATAATGATTCAGAACTTTATTCATTCTAGATAATGATCAAAAAGTAAACACCAGAAGATAACACGAATAAAAATCTCATAATACAAATGGTATTGTTGGCCACCTGTCGTAATCCTCCTAGGTGAAAATTAATTGATTTTACACATGAAAATGATTTTCTTATCCAAAAAATTTAAAATATACATAGTATAGAATTAGAATAATACATAATTATAACTAGTAAAAAATGAAGTCCGCCGCCCCACCGCGTTTAACTGCAAAACCGGAGAACTTTTATCGAAAACTCTTTGAGATGTAACAAAACAAATCACTTCATATTGTTCCTCTTTTATTGGTATATCTTTCAAGGATATAATGCTTAAGATAGTGGTCTCATATAAAGTGGCAATGGGAAAGCTATTAAGACGACTAAGATACTGATACTTATCGAATTAAATAAAATACCGTGAGCATTTCAAGCACTAAGAAAAATAATAGTGAATAGTGAAATTGATGCTACTTAAAGAATAAAAAATTATTTGAAAAACGTCAAACTAATACGTGCTCTTGAATATCTGCATTTTAGACACAATATAGTCTTATTTCATATGGATAAATGCAAATTCAGTNATTTGAAAAACATCAAACTAATACGTGCTCTTGAATATCTGCATTTTAGATACAATATAGTCTTATTTCATATGGATAAATGCAAATTCAGTACACGCCTATTGATTATTATTATATAGTTTATTCAAAAAACGCCAAGCTAAAATATACTCTTGTATATCTATATATCTCTTGTAAATATATCTACCCTACCTATCAACTCATTACCAATGCTCACATTGAATAAATATTCAATAAAGAATATTCAAGACTTTTTGGTCATTGGTAAATTTTGTGAATTTTTAAATTTATTGATTTCTGAGCATTATGAAAGAATAGAGTTTTAAACCTTTTTCTTTAAAATGTAACACGGCATAGTCGTTCGCAAGTCCACTTACATACTCCTGATCTATCTAATTAGGTATAATTCAATTAGTATGAGCAATGATCACGCTTAAGGAAGCTATTATATGTGAAACAAGTGTTGCGATTTTGTAAACTGTTCAGTGGATATCTTACAATAAAGTATTACTTGAACACGATACGGATTTTCATCAAGTATCGGCCCAAATCCATAAAAAAACAACAAATTTAACTTTCTATAACATCGTCAATGAAATTCAACTCGAAACAAGTCCTATATAAAATCGATATCAGCCCCTTTCTTATTCTACCATGTAGCAAATAATCGTACACAAAAATATCTTCAACAAAAAAATACGACCACTCGTATGCAAATATTCTCATAAAAACCCAACGATAAAAAGTTCGCCTACTTAGAATATTGGATCTGCAGAGATAGAAACGAATAAAACAAATCTGAAGGAAAGCTGCGAAAGCTTTGGTCCTTTGAGAAGTAATGAAAATGGAATATTTTTTAGATATTGTTCAAGTATATGAAAAATAGAATGGTAACCTAGGCTCCTTCCTAGTCCCAGCTATCACCGCTTTTCCACGTGTATATTTTTATTCAATAAAAAAACATGTGTTCGGAAAGCTTGACTGTAAAACTGGTCGAACCAAATTCTGCACTTTTTTTGGTAATTTTAAATAAGATATAGAGCAGAAATACCTTTTTGATATCTTCATTGGAGATATCTTTGACTATGTAGGAAATCGAAACACCATTATTTATGATTTTCCAAGTTAGTTTAAAAGAAACAATAGGTACCTATAGTCTATACGGGTTCAATTCGAAAGGCTAAATAAAAGACTAATGTCATTACCCTCTACTACTAATTTAAAAACCGTGTAGGTTCATGAAAAATAAATTTATTTTGAAATAAAAATACCCCGCTGACCATGCCATACAAAGAAACTGCCGACGTCCAGTAACTATTTCGAATTGACTTCGTATATACTATACTGCTAGCTTAACAGGTCAAGTACCAAAAATCACTTGTAACATGTATACCTGAAATGATTACCTAAATATTCTATTCAATCGGGGAGCAAAATATTATTCAAAAGGATAACGAAGAAGTCTCAAATTAGGGCAAATAATTGCGAATACAAAATTTTGAAAAAGAGAAGATTTTTCATTTGGTCCTACAAGAACCTGCCCCTGCTGACCATACTGTACCGTATGGGACCTCCGTCCCAGGAAATGGTAGGTCGAGAACCTACCCGGGTCCGACACCTCGAACGTCTGCCTTGCTGCCCAAAAGGCTAGACTCGGATACTGGAGCCTATTCGGTGAACTGCAGATCTCGACACCATGTTCGTTCGGAACTAACTCCCCGTGTCCCAAAAAAGGGGCTCATGCACTCACGAATGGACTTACGAGACTCGTTCCCTCTACCCGCTAGCGAAGCCCTAGCCTCTAAGAGGGCAACGCTGATAGAGGTGAAAACTCGCTAGCCAGAGCCGCGAGCAGACATCCACCTCTCCCTAGTACTCATGCTAGGAAAGTTCCATTTCCAACGTGTTATTAGTACCCGATGTGGGCTCTTGCGAGCATCTCTACGACAAATGAAGACTCGTGCCTCTAACCCGTGTAGGTGCGGGATTAGGTGATCTACCAACAGATTTTAGGTATACGGCGACTGGTCTGCACCGTACACCCTTGTGTTCACCCCGTAGGGCAGTCTTTCCCAAAGTGTGCGCCGCGGCGCCCTGGGGCGCCGTGGAACCTTTACTGGGCGCCGTGGGCCACAGGTGAGTCTCAAGGTACAACGTTTTACAATATAAATAACTGAGAGTAAGGGTAATACGTCGGTACCTATTAATAAAAATCCTCTGATAATATGATAATATCGGTGATTGCAAAATGTAATTCGTTCAGACAGCCACCAACCTACTTTTATTAATTAAATATATAGCTAGTGTAAGTCTTTACGTTCTGGCGCCGCGATAACCTTAAAAAACATAAGGGAGCCGTGAATTCGAAAAGTTTGGGAAACACTGTCGTAGGGCATTCATGTTAGGAAAGCCGCCTCCCCCGCATGGGATAAGTTACCGACAAGGGCTCTTGCAATATACCTTTTCCACACATAGAGCTGAAACCGGCCAACGCATGTTACCCGCAGGTGCGGGATTGGGTAACTTTAATGGGTAAACAACTATGGCACTCAGGAAGCCATCCAAACAAACCAAGATGAATTTCTCCGATCTCAGCTTCTTGATGTCTCCAAAGTCAGGTGGTTTGATAAACTGTGGGCTTCCAACCAAATGCCTGATTTTCATGGTCACGGGCAATGCATTATTATTAAATAATTTCGGGCAACGTAATCATTTTTTTCAGTTAAAAAACTAATTTTACTGGTTCATAATTTAGATTATTCAATTTGAATATAAGTGAAATAAAAACACGATCGCAGATAATAGAATTATCGGCATAAAAACGGTAGATAACATTCACAAAGATAACAATTAATCAGTTTTCGAGTTTTAGTTTATCCCCAGTGTGTATGTGGATCTATCGAGATCTGTCAGTTTGCAGAAAGTGTCAGAAAGATGAAATGGTTTGTCGTAATTCTTTTTTTTTATTGTTGCGTTGCTGTATCATCTCCGAATTTCCGCGATTGGCCACCTCTATTGAGTGACCTTTCAAAGGTAAAAACAATAAAGAAAATAGTTTAAAAATCTGCAAAATCATTATTAGGAACTACTCACGAAAATAGATGAAAATGAACAAGGATATTCAAATTTGGAAACTACATTTTTTTCTATATTATGAACATCCTACTTTGTTCAATATTTTTCTAAACAACAAGGATTTTTTCAAATGTGTTCATATTGTTATTTCGACTTATTTCATGTTCATCATTGAGTACTTGAATCATTACAAACTGATCCGCTTCAGCTCCTGTTCGAAATTATTATATTAGAAATTATCGACGAACAAACTCCATCACAACTAAGATTTCAAGACAACCTCAAATGCATTGCCTTTCAATGATACCGCAGTGAAAAACAGGACGAATCCCGTGCAGATTTCGATGTCGAAGCTGGGCTTTGCATCGTACCCCCTTCCGGAGCCTCATTTATCCTTGATATTAATAGATTGAATTTTATGTCGATTCTATAGATGTTGTCTTCGTAAGGGAAGATGTCATCGCTTTTGCTTACTGAGAAACTATCTTGTAGGAGGATTTTTTAAAAGCGTGAAAGACCGTCGCTAAACAGACCCTTTGTCGTTTGTTACCGAGTTCTGGACAAGAGTGACTATGAATATTTCCTTTGCCAACAAAGCAATAACTAACTATTACTTTGCATCAAGCGAACCAAGCTTGGGTTAGCCTGTTATCTTAAATCTACTATATGTATGTATATAGGCCCCCCTCGACTATCTGTCAATACAACCGCCTATCGCTATACATGAAATTAATCTCATCCTTCATTAAAATTGATCTCATTTTTCAGTTTTTTTGCCTTACTACTATTTTAACTTTCTACGTGTGTGTTTCTTGGTATATTTTTCAGCATTCTTTGTTTATTATCAACCCATTTTCTGTTCCTGTACCATTGTTTATGGTATTTTAACAACTGCTTTAGGTTCCATGAGAGGTTATCTCTCCCAAATAATTAAATGACTGAATAGCAATTTGAAGTATCACAATAAAAAACCAGTTCAATCATGAGCTGTGATATCAGTTAGGTTAGATGTATAGAAGCAAAAGATTTGGGAGTGCTTTTTGATTCAAAATTGGGATATAAAATATGCAGCGATGTTTTGTTATTGTTGCTTGGGAAATGAATATTATTATTTGTCCTAGTCGAGGAATTGATCTATCAGTCTAGATCGAACGGTTTGAGTTGCAGTTTGCTCTATTGATTATAATTTCATCATGAAACACTTAACCTAACGTATTTTAATATAGGACTAGAACTGAAATGATCTTTTTCAGATCAATGGCTCTTGGAATGGATATAAAAAAGCAAACATGTTTTTCAACCTTTCGTGTTTAACCTACAATATAACATGTGCTGACAAAGAATGTATCATAACTATGATTCGCAATTACCAAGAAGAACCAGGTAATGCTAGCTATGCCATACAACTAACTAACAATGGTTCATTCGTAATGAATAACTATCACGAATTCTACTTTAATATTAGCCAGTATTCAGATTATAATTCTTTAATTGTGTGGAAGGTTGGACCTGTTTCGGGTAAGTGCAACATTTTTTAATGAAAATATTTTTCAATGCATCTCAAAACTATAGGTAGTAGATTATTCGAAGAATTTTAATCAGAAAAGTTTGTTTGGAAATAATTATCAGATCCAGTCCTTATTGTTTTGCAAATATTTGAAAATTTTGAAAGACCTGTTTTATATCATCATGGTTCATCTTTTAATATAATATTTTTTCTTTGTTTCAATGGAATGAACTCGTTATGTTGGCAAGCAATAAATACATCATGCGATATTGTTATAATTTTTCTTAAGATATACTAACATTCTTTATATTGGTGATTTATCCGATAAACTTAATAATAGACTTATAACTCAAATAAGTTAGATGACTTGTTTAGTGTACGTCTTGAAAGTTAGATATCCGTTTCAGTTTTGGCAGTGCAATATTATTTGGATTGTGTATTGAACACGTTGATTGATACTTCTCTTTGTAAGCAATACTTGAACAATAATGTTACGTTTTTCCCCGTGGGTTCACCAATAATTGACTACACTGAATAATCAAACTTAACTTGATTTCACTTGAAATACAACAAACTCTTCAACTAAAATTTCAACTATTATTTGAATGTCTATCGCCTTACTAGATCACTTCGCGTACCGCACTGTAACGTCAACTTGACTTTGTACTTAACTGTCTCGATATGCCCGCCGCCAGCAATTAAATATCTTAATCGAACATAGTACAATTTCTACCGAAGTTCCATCGACATCGGTAGCATGATTCTCGCTGCTTCTTGAGCGGCAGGGAACATTGCGCGCTCTTAGCTATGTCACGTTTGGTTTATGGTTACCCAGTGGCGGCCGGCGTTATTTCCTTTCGGGAATGATTTACAACAATACCAGTGTTCTGAACACACACTAAAAATTGCTAGAAAGTAATTCTTTCAGACGTTCTCTATGTAAACCTACAGTATGTTCAGAAAATGTTCCAATTCCTTCGCGAATGGAGAGAAAATATCGTTTTTTTTTAACGGAAAGGATATGTTCATTGTCATTTTTTTATAAATACATAGACACATATTCTGTAGTCAATGCAAAATTGTTTTGTTCAATGGCGGCCCTAAGGTGTTGCGATCGAAATCATGAACCATACACATAAATATTTACTGTTTCCAGAAATGTATCTCTTGCAGCCGAGAATTGTTGCTACAATTTTTTCGAGCACATTAAATAAAATAAACCAACAACATTCGCTTTTTTTTAGTGCTTTGGGTAACCGTACGGGTAAAAAGTGTTATTAATGAAAAACAGTTTTGCTTGAGTACAAGAATATAGATGAGACAGTGACAGACCAAGAAAGTAACTTTAAAATGAACATTTTTTATCGTAATATTAACATAATTGATATTTAAAAAGCTACCAGATTTCAACAAATCTTTGTCATTTCTATACAACATCAAGGAAATTCATAGGAAAACTGAATTGGAAAAAAACCTAGAGTTGCAAAACACTTTGATCAATGGTTACAAATGTAATCTACCTGGCTTTGAACTGGTTGAAAAACTTTTCAGTATGAAGTCATTATTACCGATAGTAAAACTGTTCTTTAACTTATCAACATAAAAGGTTGGCAAGATATATTTCCGAATGTATAGAAAGCATTCAGTCTTCTATAACTGATGCTGAAAGAGAATGCATTTTCAGTAAATTTAAACTGTTGGAACTTGTTTGAATTCCACTATGTGCCAGGAAAGAGCGTCACATTCAACAATTTTGTCCACCAAAAATAGAATTGTCCAAGGGCTGAAATAATGAAAAATGACAGATCAAATATGAATGATGTGCTAATTTAAGATTCATAACTTGAACGAGGTATTCACTTGCGATATAGCATAATTGAATCAGGTAGTGAAGTCGCAAATAATAAATCGTTAGTATGGCAACTCGAACTAATGCTTTTACTACTTGTAACTTTAGTACTTGATGCGATGATACTATGTCCCAGGTGAATATCGCTAATGTAAATATTGCATTGCATATTGCAAGTACTACCAAATAAAACTTATTCAATGTCGTTTCTCATATGTCAGCCCTCCACCCCATTAAATAAAAAAAATTGAAAGAATAAAGCATACAAATTTCCCAATCATGCATTTTTGTACTTCCTGCTCAAATCATGTGAAATGTGTAGCAAAAAGTGTGATTTTGAAAGCTTGTGAGTTGTGTGGAAAGATTTTATAAATGTTGATTTTACGTAATGATATTGTTTCAAAAATTAAAATGATTTGTGAACTCTTTAAAAATCCAATGTTTGTTGAAGTTTTCAATCACAATTTGTTACTGACACAAAATGTTACTCTTCACTTCATCTGGTTGGGTCTCCCACCTTCACAGTGAAAGACCCAAACAGAAGATCTCTCTCCACCTGGAAAATAATGTAGGCCCGCCGTTGGTCTTGTAGAGCTATGAGCTATTGAAACGTCAGCTCGACCTGAAGAAAGTCCCCGAAAATATACACCACATCTTAACCTCAAGTCAACCAGTGCCCAATACAATATCAGAAGTTGATCACTGTTTAATACTTGCCTCAGAATTCTAATTTGATATGATATACATTTTTTTTTTATCAACAACTCATAATGATCTGTAATTGTGAATATTGATCAATGAAGACATCCAGGTCTTTCCGACTATTGTGAAACTGCACTCAAGACCTATTGGTTTCTTGAAAAACTTCACATTTCATTTTCAAGATCGAATTTGAACTACATGAGACAATAATAGATGTATCATCTGCATCTGAACCAACTGTGACCATCATCAATGTAGCATCTGTATAAATGGTTATCGATGAAATTGTGGCCGCTTAATCCATTTCATCAACATACAAGAGCTATACATTGGGGCCTAGGATTGACCCTTGTGGAATCCTTAGATTTATGTTGATATTATCAAAGGCATATCCATTTATTTCTATATATTGTTGTCTAAAATTGAGCTAATCAGTTATCCCGTGTATTATACCTAATATACCATATCTGAAAAGTTTATCTGTGAGAATGGTATGATTAACACAGTCGAATGCCCTACTAAGATTGCAGAATATTACCACAGGATTTTTTGTTAAGGAATATGTATTGATTTGCTGCGAAAATTTTATGATTGTCACAATATAACAATAGTCTATTATAAAATGAGTACTGAGTACATTGTGAAATTGGAGAAGGAAATCCACAACGAATGGCCATTCTTAGACGTTTTGGTGAAGAGGACCGACAATAAGCGGGAAACATCTCTATACCGAAAACCCACTCATACGGGACAGTATCTGAACGACGAATCCAACCACCATCAATCGACTAAAAGAGGAATCATCAAGACTCTATTAGACCATGTTTTGGGCTATGTAATACGAAGGAAGGTCTCGAGAAGGAACTAGACATCATCAAAAATGATCTTCAACGGAATGGCTACTCCAAAGCGATGGTAGAAAAGACTTTGGCTAGAAGACAGCAGTTATTATTTCATTTCAGGTTTATTTTGGTTAATATAATTGTTATTTTCAGCTATTCATTTTCAATTCTTCTTTTTTAGTTGTTTCAGGGATTTCAAATCATTTTATATAGTAGACAATGGAAGTCCGAACTAGTGAAATATGGAAGATTGTTTTTCAACCTGTAAAGATCTTTCAGTTTCTGACTTGTGGTTTAAATACATTCTGGATTATGGAAAATAGCAGATGACTGTTGGCTGAAAAAATAATTAAAGTTCTGTTAATAACAAAATATAAAAATCATTTGATTAGGCACTATAGCATTTAATGTTTCCTTTTATTTCAAGACTGTCAAAATTACGGTTTGTTTACCTCTACGTTCTGCAATAATTTTAATTGAACACAATGAACAACAGAATTCAATCACATGAAATTAAAACTTTGAGTCAGTTCAAATTAATTGAAATGAATTCTTTTTTACAGATTATCTTTTTGTCCTGATGAAGGATCAGAACAAGGATATGAACACAGAAATAGATAAGACGATTTTGAAGTATAATATCAAGAACACTGATATAAAGAAAATTGATCACTCTCAATGTGGATCAGGAAATAAGATTACATTTTCCCCAATTCTGCTTGTACTTTCAGTACATATCATAACGTTGTTTGTATCAAGAATTTGTACTTGAAATTGTTATTGTTGTTTGTGTTGAGCAATGAAAAATGTATGTGAACTATGAGAAATGACAGCTAAAAGATGTTACTAGATGATTCAATAATTGCAGTTGAGCTTTTTTAATAGTAATCATGAAGTTGTACAGTGTATTCAATACTGTTTGGAACCGCTTTTGATTTGATCTCACGGAGTTTCACTTCTGCTAATAATAAATATTATTTTGTAATTGTAGAAGTTGTTATGAATACTCTGCTGACCCATTACTTAGATGAAAATCATCAACACTATCCATGATAACATTTATACAATTTTCACAGTTAATTTTATTCAAGACGCATTTCTCTACACAGTAGCTTCTTAGTTACTAGTACACCAAACTATTCTACAATGTTTAAGTTCTAAGTTATTGAGAAAATTCATAGATAAAAAAAAAAATAGATTTAAAGTAATATTAACTTGTCAAACGTTTCCGAGTTGCACATCATATAGATGACTTCGTCCATTGCCGCATCGCCTATGATAATGTCTGCTGCAGTAGCAGATGAAACTTCAGGTATAAACATCTACAGACCACGGTTAATAAACCCGAGAACATTGGACAATCTGTTAGTCACTGGCAGTGAAAGCCTACACACAATAATAAATTGTATTTCATGTTATTATTATGACAAGTATGTAAATGTGTGTCTTAGTGTATTTCATCCACATTCCAATGTGATACTTGATGAGCAGATTCGTGATTTGCACAGGTTGTCAATTCTATGCTGATGCATCGAAGAAGATAAGGATGAAGACGTTAACAATGCCATAGCTCTATTGTCCGAATGTCAGAATTCGTGCAGTGAATTGTTTGAAGAGAAAGAGCACTTTCTTTGAAGTAATTTGAAAATCAGTTTTTACAGCTTTTCAAACTTGCATATACATTTAAATGATGAACTATCAACTATCTCCACTGACAAAAAACTTGTTCATTTCAGAATAAATAAATTGGTGCTATTCTAAACCACGAATGCCTTGTGTGAACCACTAATACATTGCTGGACACAATTGTCCTCAACAGCCATTCATGCAAAACAGCGTTGTTTGGTGTTAGATCACGAATGCTTTATTTTTAAGCTCTGGTTTCAACTTGATGCATTGCAGTGAAAGAGAGATGACGAATGTCGTTCGGTGATCAATGTCGATGTGGCTTTGCAACAGATCTCCTTTTTTGAGCCTCGTATATCTTTCGTTGATCCTTTAGATGACGTCTATGGAAAATGAGATGTCATCGCTTTTACATACCCATATTACATATAACGAAAATCGTTAATACTGAACATGATTTCAGTGATGTGGGTCACATACCGCTTGCATAATTGCAGTAAAAAATTAACACCGAATTAACAATTCATATTGTGAGGCCATTTGCTCATTGAAAAACTCAAGTACTTTATAGTTTGGAAAGCCCCGTTGAAACTAGTTATTCAGATTGTACTGCAAACATTCGTTATAGAGTTGAAACACATATCATTCATACGTACGCGACAAAATGTGATATAATATGAAATAGTATTGATATAAAGTGTGTCACTTACATAGATCGATTTCATCCTCAATGGTATACTTTGAGGATTCAGGACAAAACAATTATCTTATAACCCCATCAACACGATTTTAGATAACACTACAAGACGAAGCACTCATTTCTTTCATAGCATTGCCACTTTGTCAATGAAGAAACATTTTTTAATCTTATCAGGATGACAATACTTATACACATTCATAATATTAGTTATTTACAGTGATGGAAAATTCATTTGAATTCAAAAGGAAATATTTTTCGGAGAGATATTTTTTCGGGAAAACTGTGGGAATCTTGCAATGAAAGGAAGGAAAAAATTAACTACAATAAAAACCTTTTATAAAGATACGTAGTGTATACACAGTCGTTAGTTCAGCAACTTGTATGCCATTGACTGCTCTTGAGGCAGTGCTCCCTAACTATGCAGCACGGTGCTTGCTGCGCAGTTACTGGTTGTCACGCCCCGCGCCTAAAAATATTTTCTTCTCTATTTAAATGATATTCCTATGGCTGGGATTATGAATGTGATGGATAAAAACACTTTTGTCTAATTTTCACCACTTAATTTTATTCATACGACCGGTTTCGGGTTTAACCCCACTATTAGGTATAAAATTAAAATGTGAAATTTGAAAACTCGGTTATATGGGGAGTTTTTAGGTAAGATAGAAGTACAGGTAGTTAAACGAACCAGGGTGCCAACTATAAAAGTCAACACTGAAGATAATAGGGGTTGTTAAACTTATAAATTGAAAAGTGAAGACCTACACAAATCCATTTGCTTGTTTAGGGGTGTATATTTCAGGTTTTTAAATGATTTGTTAATTTCCATGGCTTCTAACAAATTCATTTTTTCCCTTTATCACATAAGTGTAGGATTTTGAGGTTACCTTTACTCATCTTGTGCTTTGATTCTTGAAAATGTTCATACATTGTAGATTTTTTGTCCAAACAGACGTGTTCACAGACCCTAACGTCAAAATTTCTACTGGTTTGGCCTGTACATACTGTAGACCATTTGCCACACTCGATTCTATATATACCTGATATTTTCATTGGTTTTGCATTAAACAGAGTTCTGCCTAAATTATTATTACTTATGAAAGCTGTTGTTATTTTGTATTTAGAAAAGAAATTTTGAATATTTTCTGAAAGTTTACCTGAGTAGTTGATGCTACTATACTTGCATATATTGTGTTCTCTGTAGTTTGGGTATAAATTACTTGTAAGTTTTATGAGTTTTACCTGATATTACCTTTTCTATTAAAGAAACTGGAACGAACCTGATTGTTTACTGCAATTAGCTTAATTATTTTCAGTTCATCTTGGAAATTCTTTTCAGGCAAAGGGATTGTGAAAGCTCTGTGTACCATTGACCTAAACGGGGATAACTTATGTGAGAGTGGGCCGAAAGAGACAAAGGGAATTGTAAAGTCTGTGAATGTGTTTTTCCGATAGATATTGAATTGAAAACCATTATTGACTCTTGAAGTATTCAAATCTAATTGATTTGAGTTCATTGTTTTGTTCGATTTCTACTGTGAATTTTATTTTCTTATGCAGACTATTGAGAAAGTTCAAAAATTGATCAATTTGTCTGTTTGAACTATCAAAACCAACCAGTACGTCATCAACATATCTGACCCAAAACACAATATGTTTCTGAGAACGGGGGTTATTAAGTATGCGGGTATTTTCTAGTGTGTCTATGAAAATGCTTGCCAAAATGGGATTCAAAGATGAGCCCACAGGGAGACCTGAGTTTTAGATATATTTGGTATAGTGAACATGGTATAGTGAACTGGGTCATTTGTTTTTCTCTATTTTTTTTCTCATACTGGCAGATAACTCTATATTTGTTAACGATTCTCCAACTACATTTCTGAACCTTGCATTTCTATCAATAACAATAAAGGTGCCCTCTAGTTTTTGGCATACTCATGGGGATCTTCTGAGCTGATTGATAGATTGATTAGATGCCATTTTTTTCAATTGAAATTGAATTTCAAATTAAAAATTTCAAGCCCGATTTTTTTGTTAGTGAAAAACTACATCGTCATCAAAAATAGTCTCAAGGTACTTACGACACTTATATGCAGAATGAATAGAATCGCTGTCCATGGCATGGTGGTAGTCGAATACCGACTTCCCCAGGAGATCCTCTTGATCATATCCTAATATCTGCGACATCCTAAAAAAAAACACAAATTGATTTTGTTAAGTGTTGGAAGTGATAACTTATTTACAATTAGATAATAGTATACTATATAAAATCGCTAGAAGTTCTAACGACACCAGCAAGAAAAGGGATGGATGTGTGGCCACAGCTGTTAGTTAAAAAGTAAACTCTTTTCTCATTCGCACAAGAACTTCACTAGAAACAATATTTGTGAAACTGAATGTCATGGGACACATTTTATTAACATCGTTAACATTCATTTCAACTAAATCTCTTAGCAGAATTATTTGAAGAACTCAACCCGAACGAAGATCGTAACACTGAACTCAATATTGAGTTCAAATATACTCTTCTTTCTTTTAGATAATAACGTCAATTCGATATAAAGAATAATGTATTAGCAAATATAACCATGTTGGAAATATCACCTACAACCTTGCAATAATATTTTGAAAGAAGACCAACCAAAGTTATCTGTGATAACTAGAATGATTTGACAAAAAAATCTCTTACAATTATTGTATGAACTCTTGAGATTTCACTACTGATCAATGCCCAATCATTTCAAACTTCCAAAGACAAGGTCAAACATTTTTATGAAATACTGGATTTTTTACATCTAAATTCACGAATCCAAAGAAAAACATTAGAAAATATATCCATCATGACAAAACAATTTTGAAACTGAAAACATTTTTTAGGGAAAAAACATTAGTAATACTGGTAATGCTCAAAACTATTCATGCTATGATCAAACCTTTTTATGAAATTTTATTTGAATTTATAGATACATTCATTAGAAAGCCGATACATATCAGAAAGTGACAACGTTTTGAAACTGAAGGAATTTTTCAAGACAAAAACAATTTACAATATTATGTATCCAAAGCAAGGAGTGAACTGAAAATTGAAATCAGAAATTCATATAAAATATACATTCAAATTTATACAGGGCAGTATTAAACAAGACCTCACACTATTTTGGAATTTTATCAAGGATTGTTAAGATGATTTTCTTAAGTTACTGACATGCAAATTATCGCGGAAAAAATTGCAGATAATTTACTTCAGTACATGATAAATAGCTCTATGAAAAAATTGAGATATATAACAAAACTAAAAATTTGTAGTTGGATTATTACCTAAACAGTCACTCTGACCACATTGCTGTTAATAAGATGAAAAAGGCATTTCATAAGCTAAAACTGTTTGTAGGTATTCTTGGAAATGAACATTATTTGTAATACGCCCCCCTGCTGCAGGGCACTAAAATACCTGCTGGATGAGGTGTCTTCCGTGAAGATGAGAGTCTTTCTGAAAAACGCCTTATCCTAAGTTGTGCACAAGAACCAAAAGAATGTATGACTCATGAGTCTACTAACTGTCACTAGCATAATCTTCCAAATAATGGGCGCCCTTATGTCACAGAAAGCTTTGTCAAGGTGATGCAGGACTTTGCCATGATGGACCTCCTTTCCCTAGCCACTTATGGGTGCTTTGTGGGTGCTTTGTTCACTCAGTCAATCGGCCGATGTGTGAGTTGATGGTTCAAGCTTCAGGCTGAAACCTCGATTTTCACTTGCTATCATCCAACCTGTGTTAGTAATCATACGTTAAAAGGTAAAACCTCGTTAGTCCTTAGCTCGCACAAGTTTCCACTTCTGGGGGCTGTCGTTCGTAGAGATGCAACAGCTGGTTAACGGAAAAACAGATTTTAAAATAGATTTTTTTCCAACCCAAGTGTGGTGGTACAGCCAGAATTCCACTAATTGCCCCCTCAAAAGCAAAATTTCTTATGAATCTGCTTTGCAACAAATTCTTGGAGCAACAGAGGTAGAACCTGCATCAGGAGAGAAAACAAACTTCACTGAGAATGTCATCAAATGTTTCCGTTCAACGATGATTCACTCAAACAAAGTTTAAAAGTCCTGTATGGCTAAATCTAACATATAGTCAAGGATTGCTAACTTACACATGTCCCCATATGGGTAGGTTTCTACGGTCGCTATGAAAATCTCACACCTTCCACACCCAATAACCCCAGAATCTGTTCAGTATGCCATTATTTTGCCTTTAGAGACTACTCTAGAATATAGTCCGCAGGTATGATTCCAGAGCTACACTTTTCAGCTTGGATGGATATAGGTTATCTGAGTGAATCAGGATAGCATCTCCTGGCTATGGGCAAGCATCTTCGTGAAATTCATCACAAGAAACCTACTTTCAACTCTACTTGCTTGGGTCACATCAGGTTTACAGCATTTGGCAAAGTCCCACTGTTGTTAGCTGACCTTCAAGATCACTAACTAAATGGAGTAATCGTCTTCATTACCAAGCAGGATTTAGTTGGCCGAGTTTGAATTGGTGTGAACCACAATAAACCCACTGAAGGTGTTGGAGAGTTAAAAAGGCTCAGTTACCTTAGAACTACCTACCTACCCTACCCTAATATGTACAATACTCATGGCCTCAGTATTGAACCATAGATTTATGCAATGCTCCATATTTTGGTAATTAAATTTCACATTATTTCAACGCTGAACATTAAAACTGTTTGAGAGATAGGGCTGAAAAAGATCAAAGATAGTCTTACTATGGAATATGACACATGGTGGATGTTCTTGGTCATGTCAGTGTTATTGAAGCCTTGATCATTGTTAGGCAACTCAAGCGGTGAATTTTGACGTGACCCGAAGTACATTTTTTCAAAGTATAAAAAAAGAATTTCCTTCAATATTATTTCTATTATATTCTCACATATAAAACAGAATATACAAATTAGGCAAATTGTCCATAGAAAATTTATCGCCGTTCTTGGATAGTGGTGTGAATAGAAATTTTCAAGATATTGAAAAAATTAGGTTTGAAAAAATATAATAGTTTTGAGGCTACAGGAATAGAAACAATAGATGTTGCGGAAATTATATTCAATCAAGTTTTAAATATGTAACCTTGAAGGTGGCTAATCAATGCTTGATTTTTACCTATCAATAGTTTCAAACTTAAAAAAAAACGAGTACATATTTCAAAACTTTCTAAAAATATGTAACTTACGACTCATCATCAGCATGCGTAAATTTCATGTCCAAGCTATGTTTTGTGAGAAAAGTTTGATGTGGTAATGGCGTCTCAATATTAGAAGGGTGCGGAATGGGCTGGCCAACGGCAATGAAGCAGCCCTGCATTAGTGATATCGATTGGTTATCTTCCTTCATGGCACTCGATTTGGATTTAACAACATGGCCAGTACACTTTATTACCTGAAATATAATTATATTTATAACTAATGATGCTCTCTTCATGTCAAGGATGTATGAAAACTCAAACAGGAGCCTTTCATTGTGTGAATCACATAATACTGCTGCAAAAGATCACATTTTATGATTTCAAAAATGTAACAACAGTAACTTCGACATGTTGGGTCCTATTTTTTTGATAACTGTCTATTCAATGAAGAGTTAGGTTTTTGGAGAGGAATGGAAATATTTTTGACTAACATTTTTCCAGCAATTACAATGAGAATTGTAAAAATGATTTTAACATCGAACATTTAGATGAATTGGATGGAAGCATTTCAGGTAAGAATAAATTTCACAAACTACACCTAATGATTTGATCTTCACAAACTTCATTTTCAAAAAATTTCATGGCATGTTTCGCAATCGAAAAAATAAGAATAAATTAGTGAATACTCTTTTGTTCAATACGGAAATAAACAAGTTAATTACATAATTTCCTAAATTGTTTTCTAAAAAATCTAAGTTGAATGTTACATATGTGAATATTTATTCAGGTTTGACATATTCCACGCCCTAAGATGGTACTGTATTCTTGTATCAGTCCTATCAAAACAAGTCAACTGGCAACATCGATTATGAAGGCTCATCAAACTTTGCTATCAGTGGTGATTATTAAGTTACAGTGAATAAACATTCGAAAAAGTTAAAGTATCGTACTTCAAGAATTGATGAAATTTTTTCAAAATTTAGTAAGGGTCAACGTTTTTCAAATATCGACCTTAGAAATGCATATAATCAAATTGAATTATGTGGAACTTGGAACACCCATCAAGGTGATGTATATGAAGTTAATCGAATGTCAATTGAGCAATTATTACAGGGTCTAGACAAAGTGGTACATTTTTTTTTGGTATAGTTGTAACTAAAGGTTTCAGTATACGTTAAAATAAACTAAAAAAAGTGAGAGTAAGGTTGAAGATATAGTGGAAGCTGAGAAGCCAACTGACACGAACAAATTACGTAGTTTCATTGGATTTGTAAATTATTAACTTAGCAAAAATTCTTCATACTTTTTTCAACTATCGAAAAATAATAATTTGTTCAATTGGACAGCTCCCAGTGACAGTAATTTTCGAAAACTAAAGGAAATTATTTCTTCAGACACAACTGAAGTTTTCAAAATCATTTCAAAAAAAAGGACGTCATCCTTTTCTCCCAATCAAATTTGAAAGTAATGTTCCAGAATAAACTCATCAAATGTATTCATAAACTTCCACACTTAGAACCAACTGAAAATTTATATAAACTGAGGTTATTGAATTCGGATTCACTTTATCAATTGGAAATTTGTCCCTTCATTTACCTCATCATTATAAATGAAATCATCAAATGTATTCATAAACTTCCACACTTAGAAGTACTTTAAAAAAATATTTTTTACATGAATAGTATTTTCCATTTGACAATTTATCTTTAAACATGTTTGTATATTTTTATACACATTTTGAGTTTAAATTTCCCTTATTATGAAAAGCCAATGTTTCTTGGGGAAGTTGAAAATTTTAGTGCATGTTAATCCAAAATATCCAATAATTGTCACAACTGATTCCAGTAAAGAAGGTATATCTAAAAGACCGCCTATTATAGACAAAAACTTTTTTACAAGCTTGCTGAAATCATTTAGCTATCTCAATGAAACCACACTTTAATATTTTTCCAATTATTTCAAGAAACACATTTAGAATGTGGAGTAAATAAAGCTGAGAAACAATTATTTACCATAATTATCATAAATTATCATAAATTGTTCATTCGACTACAAAATGTTTCAACATAGCGAAATGAAACGTAGAGAGTAAATAGTTGATGTTTTTGAAAAGGTTTTTGGAATTTTCTTTAAGGTCCTCGAACATTTCAGAAGTTAGGAATTTCAACTAACTTTAGGATTCAACATTCTTTATGGTGCAATGGTATAAGCTAGTACCGCAATTATTTTTGTATCTGTGAAACATGAAAATTAGCCAAGTATTTTGGTAACTCAAGTAACACTTCGATATGAAATATTCACTGAGCCTTTACAAAACTGAAACACATTTTTCGCTATACAGTGCATTCCATTTGAAACGAGCCACTCTGAATAACTTTTGGTACAATGATTTTCAGGAAAAATAAAATAACANTAATAGCAAAACGTATTTTTTGTGTCGTAAATTTCTTCCTGGATGATTATCATTGAACATACGGGCAGCAGCTCTAGCACTATTTTCATTCTGGTAGTACAAACTCACTATTTCAATCCGTTCTCAAAGTGTATAAACTATTGCTTCTCAAGAATTCACAAAAACAGAAACACCAATTGTAACTTCGCCTGGGTAGATAATAGTTATTGTAGAATTAGACAAATACAAAATGAAGAGCATATTGAATTCAAACTTAACTAGGCAAAATAACACTTCTTTGAAGTATACTTCGCAAAAATATCTATGAAACCAAGGTAACAGATTGAACAGAAGTTCATTCAGGGTAGTTCGTTTTCAACTCTTTTCAATTCCAATAATTTTTAGTTTCCAAACTATAAGCTTCAGACCATAATGTATTCTACTTTTGATGCACTATTTGAAACCTTTGGTGTAGTGGTGAATATTACTGGAGTTTTTCCCAACACCAAACCGTTATTTTAACACCTCGACACGTGTTTCGATCACCAATTGATCATCTTCAAGATGAAGATCAAACTGTTTGATCTTCGTATCGTATCGTATTGAAATCTGTTCATCATGGAACATCTGATAATGCAAAACAATTGATCCATAAAAAAAGGGGGACTTGCTCTGGGTGAGCGATAGGGAAAGTTAAATCAAATATGAATATGTCAAAATGTGCTCACTGTATACTATTGTTGAGGTGTTTTTTTATTTTTCCTGAAAATCATTATTCCGAAAGTTATTCAGGGTGGCTTGTTTTCAACTCAAATGATTTGTAGCTCTCGAACAATGAGCTTCAGACTATATGTCTTACATTTTGTTAAAATCTGCTCATCATGGAGCATCTGATAATGCGAAACAATATAGGGTGATCCATTTGAAAAAATTGGTGACATGCTCAGGGGGTGCGATAGGGTAAGTAACACCAAATGTAAATATGTCAAAATGTGCCCCCCTGTGTACTATGGTTGACGTGTAATGAATATTACTGGAGTAAGAGGTAGATCAAACAGTTTGATCTTTCTGACATACTCTGGGCGAGCGATAGGGAAAGTTAGATCAAATGTGAATATGTCAAAATATGCCCCCCTGTATACTATTGTTGAGGTGTTTTAAATGTAACGCACTGTATAATAGCTTCCTCGAGCGTGTTCATACTATATGAACATATCTGAGAATGTGATTGTATCGTGAAGTATTACTTGAAGATACTTTTTAAATAATAAATATAGCCTTCTTTGATAATTCATCCATTATTTCATTACTCAACTCATTCTACCTTATAGATAAAATTGGTTATTTATTATTTGTTCATGTGTTTTGAAAAAAATACTCACTTTATATATGGCCGATTTGAGGTTGACGGATCTGCCTTTACTGGTTAGGGTACACTTGAGACGCATGAAAATTGACTTTGAGCAGTCACTTTCATCTTGAGACTTTCCAGAGATAATTTCTCGAATCTCATCATGATCGCATGGGTGACTGTATTCGAAAACATTTTGGCCCATCAGGTCGATCTGGAAAATGTTCGATTTGTAAAATAAGAAAAATCAAGAACAATTATATATGACAGTTATAAAATAAAATATATGAGGACATAAGAAAGCACTGATGCCGTTTTCTGGTACATAGTTCAAGATAACAGGAAGAAAAATTTAATTAACTATACTGCGAGAGACTTGGCTGACCAATTATGTTTTGCCGAAAAAAATACTTCTATTTATTCAAGATCGGACATTCACTTAAAACAAAGAATGAGAGTATAAACACATTCACTAATATTAATATGAAATATGATAAATGCGTTTGTTTACACACTTTCCCCATATTTTGCATCGTCATCTTTTGAGATATACTCTACTTGTTTATACCAACAGTTAAGGACTCATCCTTGAGAACCCGTAGTTGCAAACATTCAAATATTGATTGAAAAAAAGCTTTTCGGAGATAATGTCAAGTGTGTTTGACATCGAGTTGTTAATATTTTAGTATAACCGATGGTCGTCACTGGAAAAAGCTATATATTAAAAGGTAAGACCTCGTTAATCCTTAGCTCGCTTAAGTTTCGACTTCTGAGGGTTGTCGTTCGTAGCGGTGCGACAGCTGGTTAACGGAAAAACAGATTCTAAACAGAACAGACAGATATTAAGTCATAGAAAATGTCAATATTATTCTTCCCCTTCTTCTTTCATATCTCTCTAATTATTTATGAATAAATAAATTGTTCATGTTTGGGATAAAAATGATAGATATAACCTGCTATCTTTTCCGTCAGAAAATTTATCAAACTATAATCTGATATTAATATTATCTTAGAAAATATTTTACAAAGTATAGATTGAATATTTCATCTGTCTGTATAATGCGCATTGGATGTATAATTCATGATGATTGAATTTGATAACTTCAACTCAACTTAAATAAATTGATAAAGAACAAAAGCATTCTATATCAGGCGACATTCAATGACTTGAAATAATTTTCCAACGCTTCGGAAAATAAAATACCGCACTGCAATTCGGTTCTTCTTCAAAATCAATGAAGGAATAAAAAAAATCCACCTACCTGGGAAAGTCCCAAATAATCGCTGACATTCTCAGACAAATAAACGAAGTCCCCTTCGGCAGACAAAACCACAATGAAACCATCAAGCGATTTCAGGAATACCGATCCGTCAGTTCCGGTCTCTTCGTCTGGTACTTTTAGTTCTGGAACTAAATGATAAGATAATGAAAATCTAAGAAACAATAATAAATTTCATAGTCATAATAATCGAGAAATGATTCAATAGGCCGCAATAGCAGAGATGAATATAAACTCATTTCTTATTGTAGCATTATATCTAATTTAATCCAGAAGTTACTTTAAGGGATACCGACAATGTTTTCCAAAGAATTCATAGATAATGAAAATATTTCTATTGAAAATGACCTATACACTTCAAAATTGTTTTTTGTTGATATAGGTGAAAACATACTTTAGGTAACTTTTTAAACTTTAACTTCAAGTGAAGTATTATCTATCGGCCACTTCAGATATCATTATTGCTGTATGACTAGCGTCAACCAATATGAATATGAGTAATACAACTAGCAATGTAGGTACAATGACGAAGGAAAAATAAATGAACATAATATTGTAATGAATTTGAAGCCGGCCCTGACCGATATCTCAGCCAGCGAATAAACATGACATCACCGCGAAAGAAGCAGTCTGACTCGCCGGGAAAATACTAGGCGAGTGCAGAAACCACTAGATAAATCTAGAACGATCTTTACCGATATAAAAGGCCGGCTTCCCGTTCAGAGAGAGTTGAATTCAGAAAGCGAATCGAGCGGTAAACAAATAATTCGAACAGTGAAGATAAATTAGGCGTTAGTTGCTAAGTGTTGAATATGAATTATGAAAAATATATATATGAATGAAAAATAAATTTGTTTAAGACAGTAAATTCTTTAATTCGTTACAATATTTCAATTGAAAGGTGTATATTTTTAGGAGAGATAAAAAAAAGTGGGAATCTCCCAGGGAAAGGAAGGAAGCAATCAGTTTCGATTACTTATTACTTATTTTCAAATTGATTACTTCCTTCCTTTCTTTGGAAGACTCCCACTTTTTTTGTATCAACATGGAGAAGCAGAAAGCCAAAACTTTTCTTTCTCGAATATAATATATTCCATACAAATAAAGAAAATAGGGGGTATGGATCGAAAACACCTCACAGATGCGATGCATTTCCTTCCTTCCATGAAGGAGAATATACGCATTTCTATTCACAAGGAATTTTGGTGAAATTGGTGACACTTATGAACCGCATTCGTACCATTGCCTGAAGGTTAGGTTAGTGAGAAGTGAGTGGGTCTCTTCGACCCGCAACCCGCAAGAGCTTATTGTGGCTCACACCTATTCAAACTCTGACAAATAAACCCAGCTTCTTAACGAAGCCGATTAATGTATTTGGTGAGTGATCTTTCAGGTCAGATGGCAAGAGTGTGGCTCAGCCAAACTCTGAAATTCTGATTCGGTCCGCAGCGGGGCAGGCACAAAGTATGTGCTCTGCTATTTCATCATTTTCCAAACGGAGGCGACACACACTGTCTTCAGACAGTCCGAGTCTCTGTATATGATGATTCAGATGACAGTGACCTTTGAGGAGGCTTGATAGACATTGTAGTTCATACCTACTGTAGTCCAAGCCAACTGTTTGGTTTCAAGCTTCAAAGGGTGTATGAACACCTTGGAGTGAGCCAATCCAGGAAGATTTTGCCAGAAGTCCTTAGATCTTCATACCATCCTGGTGTTCAATGTTTGTTTGGCAAAACCTGAAGCGATGCCGATGACAGGTTCTGGTCTAATAAAGTTGCTTACAGCACTCTCCTCTGCAAGGGAGTCAACAGCCTCTTTGCTTTCCAGGCCAGTATGGCCAGGAATCCAGACCAGAGACAATTTGTTAAGTCTTCCTATTGAGAAGAGTCGTTTTTGGCAATTTTCCACCAATTTTGACGTTGCTCGGTAGGATCTAAGAGCTTCCAACGCCTCTTGACTGTCCGAGAATATCTTTTTCCTTTCCCGAATATAATATATTCCATACAAATGAAGGAAAAACAGGTATGGATCGGAACCAACTGAAAGATGCGACTTATTTCCTTCCTTTTCATCTCTATTCACAAGGAATTTTAGAGAAATTGGTGACACGTGTGAACCGTATTCGTACCATTGCCTGTATATGAGTGTCAACAGTATGTCGAGTAACAGAAGCATTCATCAAGAGGACCAAACAGTGGACCTAGCACCTCTTAAAAGATAAATCTGTCGTGGGAGGTTAAATATCTGGGAGTGGTCCCAGGCTGATCTAGAAAGAGTTGAAATAATGAAAGAAAGACCTTTGGCTTTACTACATGATAATAACGGGAGCAATGAAAACCACTCCAACACTCTTGAATCTTCCTTCTCCACATCTTGTAATAATGAGGAAAACGAGACCAATTCAGTTACATGGGATCGGCAAAACAAAGATTTCGGAATATGTGGAGGAACGAATATAACACCGAAATACATGTTAGATACAGATTTCGCAGTTGAAGACTTGAACTGCGGACAGTGGAGAATGAACGGATATCCCGAGAACTTGCTCAGCAGAAACAATTGGTATGCAGACGTGTCGAAAATCAAACACAGGAAAAGAGCTGGAGTTTACTGTGCAGTTAGAAATCTTCATTTCGGTTACTTACTTGATCATAAGCCTTTCAGGCTGAAGTGTATGCAATATTGCAAAGCGTAAATAACATTAATTTGAGCCCTCAATGAAATGAGCGCATTAGTCAGGCTGCACTTAAAGCACTGATGAATCCAAAAGTGGCATCAAGAAGGGTCAGGGAATAAGGGCAAGAACTGAGGATACTGGTGCCTAAGAATGGATAGACTATAAAAAGGATGTCCGGACAATCAGGTATCGCAGGCAACGAGAAGCTGATTAGTGTGTCAGATACGAATCATTAATCCTATAGATATATAGGCAGCTAGTCATACGAGTATTTTATGTCAGGAACTAGATCACAGGAGGAAAACAATTTATGTATAACCCAAATTATTTCCAGAAGAATGTGACATACATCTAGCAAGGGATTTTTACAAACTGGTTCAGGAAACAAAATTGTTGGAATGAGTATCATAAAAAAGATAGGAAAAAACGCAATAAGTCCATGAGGCTGCAGTGTTTTCCAGAGATTTGGGAGAAATGGACAATGGATTCAGATAGTGTATAGAGATTGTAACTCATATGTTTCACAGTGTTTGCTGCGTAATTATTCAAGTATAAACGTTGGTGTTATTGAAGTAGTTTTGTATCTGTATCTGTAGAGTAAGGAGGGTGAGTGTAGGCCCACAGCACTTAGGCCACATGTGAGCCATTGTACATCCTCCCGTGGAGTTTTCCTCCTAGGTCATCGTCCATCCTGTCTTTTCCAGGAAGGTGGAAAGGTCACTAGAATATCGGCAGGAGTAGGCTAAGACTCGCCGAAATCACACTCTCTTATTGACGATAACTCCGACACTCGCATAGGACATGCCTGACAGTTACATCTTCCTGGTCACACATCGTGCATAGAGGTGTGTCCACTAGCCCCATATTATGGAGGTGTTTCCTTAGTTGACAGTGGCCAGTCAGAAATCCTACTGTTAAGCGTAGCTTTTTCCTGGTCATCGCCAGATATTTCTTCGACGCCAGCTTCCCAAGGTCGCCCAGGGTGATACTGGCATGATTTCATCCTTTGATTTCATCCCATCTCTTTAGGGATTGTTCCGCTAGTTCCGCAATTGTAGAAGTCATCAGACCGTAGGTGCCACTGAGTCCTAAAATTCTTAGTCCAGCCGCTTCCTTGGATAAAGAGTCGGCAATGCGATAACCTTTACTCCTGTCGTGCCCTTTTTCCCACCTTAGGATAATGTTATTATCTAAATCTTTGGCTTTGGCTAAATCTTGGTGGCACTCTAGTACTAGCCCTGACGTAACACGTTGTCTGTTCAAGGCTAATAGGGCTTGTCTACTATCAGTGCAGATTGTTATGTTTATGCCAAAATTTCCTTTCCTGATTATTTCTTTTGTGGCGATTGAGATACCAACCAGTTCTGTTTGAAACACTCTGGTATTTTTTCCCATTCCCCACTTAATCCTTAGACTTAGTGATCTTGAGTACACTCCACATCCTGAGCCTTCTTTGTTTTTTGAGCCCTCTATATTTATGCGTATTGCATTTGTAGCATCTGACTCTGTGTTCGGTTTTATTTGTAGGGTGTATTAAACACAAACCTGGGTTCAATTGAAGTAGTTTCTAAATCTATCTGTTGGAGAAAAAAATCTTCAAATATAAATATATGATGGAACCGACCGTTTAATTTACTCACAATACAATATTGGGACGTCCGAAGATGCACACGTGTCGCGGTTTTGTAAAATTCCAAGTGAAAATCTCCTATTAAAGTGTGTTTTTTGAAAACATCTTCAGATATATCACTGAAATTCGAAAAAAATGTATTGATCAAGGTTTCCTGCTTTTTTTTTCTTTCTTTGCAGAACATGTTGGGTGTTCATCTCCATTCAGTTTTCAGTTGTTTCCCTCAAAAAATACAACATTGATTGATAATCTCAGTTGACCAGTTCTCGAGAACAACAACATTGATTGATAATCTCAGTTGACCAGTTCTCTATGTTATTGGAAGAGATAAGGCCCATAACGCATTGATCATAGTCCACATTATGTGTACTTCGATGTAGATTTTATTTACCAACGATACTGGTCACAAACTTGGAGTTGTTCATACTCAAATATCTCGACCAGGGCTCCTCTTGCGCTTTTTCGATGCCATTCAACTTTTCGTCAATATTAGTTCAGGTAGTGATGATTTACAATTATTAGAAAAAAATAAGAGACAGGCACCAAGCCGAATATTAAATATAGTTTGAATTACTTGGCAAGATGAAGGCATAATTTTGTGCTCCAAGGCTCCAATATCTCAATAAAAGGATTCGAAATATGTATTCAACAGTCACACCATCAAAAATTTATTCGGTTATACATGTTGCTTAGAATTTATTTCATATAAAAAAATGTTTGCAGATGTGAATGACTCCAATTTGAGAAATTCTGTTATCAGTATGAAGTTTTTCTGAGAATTTAATTGATCAAATAAACTAATTTTAGATCCAATCTCATGG